AAAAAAAAAAAAAAAAAAAAAAAAAAAAAAAAGATCAATTAAAAAAAAGGGGTAACTGCGCGGCAGTCACAAAAGCAGTTTGAAATTGCACTTCAGGCATTCCCCAATTCCCGGGAACATAACACCCCTCCTCTTGACTGTACCAGACCGGAAAGCTAGCTTGTATACATGCGACATTTTCAGGCCAAATCCTGAAGTGCCATTTCAAACTGTTTTCTTGACAGCCGCGTAGTTTTCCCATTAAAAAAAAGGAACAAAGGTTGCAGCCTTAAGGGCCCTTTCTCTCGGGAGGGTTGGCAGCTGCATGGTACAGGGCGGCCAAGATGCAAATGCCCTCCCAAGTGCCCAATGAGAGGCCCCCTTATAGAATTTAGGGTGTATTGATATACAGACCAAGGGCATACTCACAGTAGGACTTTTTCTACTAAGCTCTGGACGTGATTGAGGCCAGATTCATCAAGGTCTGGCCGGAATTGCAGTCAGATCAGATATTTAGAGGAGCCCTAGTAAACTGTAATACTGCTAAGTATAGCAATATACAGTTCTGAATTCCAGCTAAAAGGCCACCCTTGGAATTGAACTCCATCAGCTGCTCACTTGGTGTCCCCCAGCCCCGAAATCTACAGGATCACTTCTTCGGTGGAACCGTAGATTCTTAGATCGGACGGTCCTGAATGACTGATGCTCGAAACCACTCGTGTCTGCCGCAATTGCCACTTAGTCCCTAGTAGCAGCAGAGGAGCTCCAACGGAACGGTCCAAAATGACCAACCCCCTAACCCCCTCGAAAAGATATGCATTCCTCCTAATAGAACATACAAATATTATTGCCGTACCTAGACTGGAAGTTGGCCCAAATACACCTCTAATGACGGCACATCCTATTCGGGGTCAAAGGGTATTGGGACCTAGGCCCCAGTAGGAGCAGGGTGAGATGGACCCGGTTTCCGGCAGGTGCAGCTCCCCGAGAATAGATCGGAGCAACCGATGTCAAAAAAAAAAAAAAAAAAAAAGGAGGAGCAGGGAGAGCTCTGATCTGACTGTCGTGGATGACCACCCCCCTCATAAATAATTGGATTCAGCCCTGCCTTCTTGACCCGAATAGAACACATGGTAATTCTAGCTGCATTGTTTTTCAGGGCACCTCTCTTGTTTGACTAAGCTCTGGACATGATTGTGGACAGATTCATTCAGGTCCAGCCATAACTGCTGTCAGATACATTGAAAACAACAACAAAAAAAAAGGAAACTGCCCGTGTGAGTATGCCCTTTTTACTTCTTTTTCTTTCTCTTTTTTTTCCTTGGTGCTCACAGAATCCATCGTTACGGGGGGGGGCGCGGCGGTCGGCGCCCGGAGCGCCCAAGTTAGCGCTAGTAGTTTAACGCTGCTCTGGTCCATCGCGTAGCGCACCGCCATGATGCTCTGGCAACAGTGTAGCCTCCTCGCTCGGTATTACCCGAGAAACCAACCCGCGAGGGAAGGGAGGTAGGCATCACACGGACCAGCCTTACAGACAGTCGCGACATAGCGAATGACGTTTTACGTGTACACGTGAATGAATTGGAGCTTTGTTTGGGCGTGCCCCACTCACAAAGGCGCCCGCCGCTGACGCGAATACGGTGGTTAAGAGCAAGGAGAGAGACTAGAGTAGCAACTCCGGTGACACATCGGGGAGCAGCAGGACAGGTCAAAAGATGGAGCAGGAAAGTCGCCAAGCACAGCCAGAGGCAAACGAGGTTCCGCTGTCAGAAGAGGACCGGATCAGGTCGCTAATAGCGAAATGCTATGAAGACGGGGTTTCCCCAGAAAACCTACGACACGGAGAGTTCGTTATCAAGAATGGCGTCCGCATCTTCAAGGTCAACACGCAAATAGACAAATTAACGACGGCATGGCTCAAGGAGAGGACTATGACGGTGATTTTTCAAGGGGAAGCGAGGGATTTACTGATAAAAACTAGGGAAGACCTGATTCGGGCGTACGAGAATGGTTGGCAAAGAAAGAAGACGTTTGCAAGAGGTTTTAAGAGAGGAAGGGTTCACGGTGAGGGGCCGAATGTGATGTCATACGTCGCGAGATCAAGAGAGGTGGCACAATGGTTACTGGCGAAGGCGGATGACGTGGTGGTAATTAGAGGAGTAGAATATAAGATGCTATTTAAAGCATGGATGACAAGGGCGGAACTGGAGGAACAGAGAAGACAAGATGACGAAACAAAATTCTGGGTCGTTGCCCTGAGAGTGCCGCTCCGTGCCATGTTCCATTTGCGAGATCTTGTAACACAAGCGATGGGCCCGATTATCACTCGACACCCCCCAGAGCCGGATGCCACAAGACCCAAGCTCATGAACCTGAAGTTCAAGCTTGCAAGAGAAGCCGAAGAAAAATTTGAGGCCATCCTTCCAATGAAGCTCGATGATGGGGAACTCTACAATGCATAATTTGTTAATAAGAACACGTCGTGGTGCACCCGCTGTAAATGGTGGTTCCACACGGACTCCGACGGATGCCCAGGACCCGAGGAAGTAGTGTAAGGCGACCAGGATGTATTCGGAGGACGCTCTCGAAGACCACAGCAAGGCGAGGTGGTGTTTGACGGAATCAGGTCAGCAGCCAGGGACCAACACTTCGTCCCACCAAGCAGAGGAGAATCCAGCGGAGCGGCAGAAAGAAGACTAGGGAGACCCGCTCAACCGACAAACAGACCGGGAGATCGAGCAGTCGTTCCGACGGGAGACATCCTAAGCATGCCACACTTTATGTCGCAGTGAGTAAGAGACACATACCAGCCTGCTTCAACGAAACAGGCGAGATTGGTCTACATCCGGGCGGGTTCATGGGCGTCAATTTCTGGCGCCAGCCCAGGCCTAGCAGCCATGATGGGTTCTCACAGGTGGCTCCAGCCGCAAGGGGACGATGGAAGACTTGGTCAGTGGACGAACCCAGCTGTTACTGGCCTACAAGGAGGGAACCACTATCGCCTACCAGGACCTTACTACGGGCAGGGACGAGGACATTCAGCATTCTTAAGACCGCTTCAGGAGATCTTCCGGCCTCTTCCTGAAGTGGCAGAAAGACGGGTGGGAGTAGTTGGCGCGGGTGACGGACGGACTCAGACCATCATAATCCCTGGGCCGCCATCAACTCCTTTACAGGAGCTCAGCGGGGCACTGCGTAGTGAGGGGGGAGAAGACGGCAACGGTGGGGAAAACCTGAATCCAAATGGAGTATCCACGAGAGACGTAGGAGAGCACCAGTTTGAAGAGAAATTTTTATTACCGTTAATTTGCACGCTCCTAGGACAGGAACCATACATCCTTGGTCTGGTGAATAGGCTAGGAGGTACCGTTCTGCCATCTATACCTCTCAGTGGTATCCCTACTCTGGAGTTGATTGACTCCAGAGTAAGGCAAATTTACGCTGACCGCTTTTGCTTTAGAATTTTCCAGGATATATCATGCCCAGCTAACCGTCGACACGCCCACAGGAAAACGGATCGAGTTTTTCATCCCCCTGATTAATGCAAGAATCCCGATGCAACACTGGGCGGGCCTGCCATCGGTGGGTCTAACATGTATCCCTCTTCGACTGATGCTAGGTTTACCATGAGACGAGCTCGATAGTGTGTTAGTAGAACCAAGGATCCCAACCGCTTTTCTCAGAGCCTTGAATGAACACATGCCATTGGACCGAAATTTGGAATCGGGTTTTATCCCCGAAGTATTAGCAGAGAACTCGCAGAGTACCAGCCCGTCCCAGGAGAGAGAGGGCACAGAACAGGCGGAACAAGGGCGGATCCAAGACGAGAACGCGACGGCGAGCACTAGCGATGGGGAGAATTAGAGTAGGAACATGGAACGCGAAAGGACTGGGGGATACGGGGGGAAAGCAGAAGGGTAAGAGGTTGAAGAGGTGGATCCAGGTGAAAAGAGTGGACATAATGCTACTACAGGAGACAAAGTTATCAGAAGCAAAGCTTGCCCAACTCGCGGACTGGTGGGATGGTCCCCAACTATGGGCCCCAACACGGGGCTCTAGGGGAGGGACAACTATCCTGGTTAAAAAGAGTCTAGAGGCGGAACTCGTTGATTATGATGCGGACTTATAGGGCAGATGGGTGTGGCTAAAGCTCCTAATTGACAATATCGAGACTGTACTAGCCACAGTCGACGCACCCGACGAACCAAAAGACAGACTGTTATTTATCGAATCTCTCCCTTATTATCTACCAAGCACTGACAATATGATAATAGGGGGAGATTGGAACCTGGTGTGCAGTCCAGGATTGGACTCGGAAGCAGAAGAGAACCTGGAAAAAGACACAGAATCCTTCCTTCTGTGGAGAGAAGCCTGGGGTCTGACGGACATCTTCAGGGAGCTTAATCCCCTAACCCAAAACTTTACATGGTTCTCAAGCTCGGCGTCTACAGCAGGAGCAAGGCGGAGGCTTGATTTCTTCCTGACTTCCGGATGCTTCACTCATCAGACTGTAGCAGTCCAATCCTACAACTCAGGGATGTCAGACCATAAATCGGTAACGCTAGAAGCAAGTCTGGAACGGCACCCCGAGGTTAGGGGCCCAGGCTACTTTGGACTGAATACAGTCAACCTAGAGGATGATGGATGGAGAGACTGGAACACCCAACAGTGGAGGGCATGGAGACTGGCAAGGGAGGTCTTTGACTCGTATGAGGACTGGTGGGACGCAGGGCTTTGGATCATCTCCACCAAGTTTGAGACCTTCTCATCTATTGCAGCGTACATGGGAAACAGAGATGAAAGGAGGCTGGAAGCAAGGGTGGAAGAGGCAGAAAAGAGAATGAGAGGACATCCGATCTCGGAACTGGTATGGGCAGAGGAGAGGACGGCCAGACTGGGGGAGTGGGAACAGCATCAAGTGGTTAAACAGTCCAGATGGGAATCGATCCTGCAAGAAAAGGACGTACTCACTCAGGACAGAATGACAAAAGACTGCTTTCGAAGATTGCTGCAACAGGGTCCAAATGAGATAACTCTAGCACCCTCATCTGTTGGCGTTGCCGACAGCTCATACCAATGAGGACCTATGCGAATATGCAGGGGACTATTTCAGGGACATTTTAACGACCCACAAAACCTTCTGGAACTGGGAAACAAATCTCACCTATATAACGAGATTCTAACAGGCGGTAAACTAGGGAGGTCAATGACCAGGGGCGTAATTACCTTAATGTACAAGAAAGGAGACATCTCTGAAGTGAGGAATTGGAGACCAATTTCACTGTTAAACGTGATATATAAGATATTGGCGAAAACACTGGCTCGCAGACTGGGAAAATTACTGCCTAAGTTGGTAGGCAAGGATCAGGGAGCATTCGTCCAAGGACGTCCAAGGACGCTCCATCTTTGAGAACATCGCAACAGCGATGGAAGCGTTGGAGTTAATCGAAGGGGACGACCTAGACATCGCAGTCCTAATGATCGACCTCGAGAAAGCTTATGACCGGGTCAAGTGGACATTTGTGATGACTACGCTGAAAGTGATGGGGTTCGGGGATCCATTCTGCAGTTGGGTCAAAGCTCTATATGCTTATGCAACAGCAGTGGTGCAGGTGAACGGAGTATGCTCCCAGGAGTTCAAACTGTCCAGGTTGCTACGGTAGGGGTGCCCTTTGGCACCCCTGCTGTTCGTTCTGCAATTGGAGGTGTTCCTGTGCGCTATTGGAGCCAATCCAAACATCAGAGGATTGAAGCTGGCAGGAGGAAGAGACTACAGGATTAAGGCATTTGCAGACGACCTCTTGGCTATTTCGGCTAACTCCAAAGATTCCCTGGAAGCACAACGGGCCAGCCTTCAGAAGTACGAGGATCTGTTGGAAGCTTCGATAAATTGGAATAAGTCCAATTTCTTCCTCCCAGAATCACATCAATTCCAAGCCCAGTGGGGAATGAAGAGAGTCTCAGTAAACTCCGCGGAAAGGTTCTTGGGGGTGCTGGTCGCACTCGAAGACTGCTCCTATGCACAAGATCTCCTTCTGCAAGAAAGAGTCCGGAACAAAATCAAGAGTTTGGGGAGGGTTCCCCATCTATCTTTGAAGGGAAGAGCCCTGGTCACCACTGTCTTAGCATTTTCTCTTCTATGGTACGTCCTCAAGGTTTGTAAGTTATCAAATGCATCACTCAAGAATATCAGAGTTGCAGCCAGGAAGTTCATTTGGAAGCCGCAAGCAGACAAAGACCAAGGTTACATCGCTAAGGTAGCTTGGGACACGATCTGCAGACCAAGGGAGGAGGGAGGTCTGGCTATCACGGACCCAGGCTCCCAAAACCTGGTCCTTCTGTTGAGTTGGGTACAAAAGGCGGCGGAAGCAGAGAACGCTCCAGATTGGTGTCTCCTAGCGGAACGTATCCTGCAGAAGGAATGGGGCCTGAGCAAACCCTCAGATGTCTGGGTCCCGATGATGATGGACTCTTTCCTCAAGAAAAAGATTAAATCAAAATTATGGAGCAACGTGCTGGCAGCGTGGAGTAAGACAAAACCGGATGTAAGAGTGTTTTCGCAAACGAAGGAGGAGGTGATGAATCAGCCACTATTCGATCACTACCTCATCAAGAACACTGAAGGAAGGTACTTCTCCGCCACAAAGTCCCCAGGAAATTTTGGGCAGAAGTGGGTGCAAAGGAGTGTATTTGTTGTGGGGGACCTATGGGATGACAATACGAATCAGTGGTTCCCAGTAAGTAAGCTGAGAGAAAAATTGGGCAGGCTACCTTTGCAGGAAATCAGAAGACATCAATTGATAGCTGCAATTCCGGAGGATTGGAAAAACCTCCTAGGACCAAAGGGCATAAACCCCCCTGGAACCTGGTTGAGGTCGACGTCGGAGCAGGATCAACCTTTATTTTTGCTTCTCAGAGGCTGGCATGAGGATGGTAGCGGAAAGTGTGACGTAGATGGATACATTAAGCTAGAAGAACATAGTGATATTCTAGCATTGTACCAATCAACCACGAGATGGGGTCTGGGAGGCTTGGAGGAAATCCATGTGAGGGTTGTAAGACAACATGGGAGAGGAGAACCGTCTGTTTACAAATTGGTGGCGGGTGGAACTGCCAAAAGGCAGTTGAGGATAGATCCGCTGATGTGGGGATGGCGCTCAGGAACCGAAACGGTTTCGGACCTGGCGAAGATGTCAACTAATCTCATAAAGAGCAGAGTTAATTCTAAAGCTAAGTTGATATCCAAGCTGCAGGTCCGCTGGGAATCAGCACAGCCTACCATGGCATCGCCAAAAGACAGCGAACTTTCAAAATTGTGGGGACAACAAGCGATCATCCCTTCTTAGTAGTACGCATCCCTCCTTTGGCTTCAATCTCACATTGCAGTACCTACAGCAAGATGGTTGGAGAACAAGGGTATGAATGTTAACCTTAAATGCGATCGTTGTAACTGGCAGTTTGAGACCATGACCCACCTATGGTGGGACGGCCCCAAAACGCAGAAATAGTGGAACTGGTGGTTCCAACACTGATCCAAAATG